GCACCGGCAGCCCCGGCCGCCCCGCCACCGGCACCGGCACCGAGCCCCAGCACCGGTATCGGCATCGGTACCAGTATCAGCTCCGCATCAGCATCGGGACCGGTATCAGCGTCGGCACCGGTGTCGGCACCGGTATGGGCATCGGCACCAGCGCCGAGCCCGGGCACCGACGCTGGTGCCGACGCCGGCATCAACATCGGCACCGGCATCACCGCTGGTACCGGCACCAAGCCCCGGCACCAGCATCGGCCCCGGCTCCAGTATCAGCGCCAGCCCCGAGCCCAGTGGGTGCCCCCAGGCCAAAGCGCCCGCTCAGTCGGGCATCCCATCCCTGCCGGCACCCCGGGGTCTCAGCCCCACAGGTGGCAGGTTGGGGCTGGGGAAGGGGGTGTCTCTCCCCCTCGCCCAGGCTGTGCTGCTGGGACCCCCCTTCTCCCTCCAGCAAACACCCGGTGGTACCAGAGGTCCGTGAACCCAGGGCCATGGGGTGAGCACCCCGGCCACCCACACTGGGACCCCCATCCCAGCCAGAGGTGGAGAGGGGACTCACGTGTGGGGATGCACTCGGTTTGGGGGGACCCCAGGTTTGGGGACCCCCCATGCCCTCACCTCAACCCTGGGACACTTTGGTCTAACAGCACCAGGGCCTGGTGCTGGTGGGAGACCAGGGAAAAGCATTATGGTCCTGCTGTCACGGAAACCTCCTGGGAAAAGCTTCTCCGGCAGCTGGGTGCCCCATGGTCCGTACGGGTGGGCCATGGTGGGGGGGGTCCCCTCTGCAGGACATGGACTGGGACAGCCCCAGCCTCCGCGCAGAGAGGGCAGTGGGACAAGAAGGGTTAACGGACCGAGCAGGCATCACAGGAGCCCGAGCAGCCATTTCGCTTGAGGTTGTGACCCCTCCTTCATCCCTTCCAGCGCTGCGTCCCCCAGCTGGGACACCCTCATCCCCCCAAAACACACCGTGCCCCTGCCCCATGGCCCAGCGCCCTGGGGGCTCCCACAGCCGCAGCCCTCCCGGCACCCAGGTTCCCAGCTGGGGCAGCTGGCACCCACCGGTGCCTGGGGCAGGAGGAGGGCTCTCCGGCTCCTGCCCTGGGCTGGGGGATGAGGGTGTCCCCTGGGACCGGGGGTCCAGACTCACCCCAAGGTGTGAGCTGTTGGGCAGCTGGTGATGCTCCATGGGGGCCGGGGAGCTCCCAAAGTTGGGGGGATGCAGGACAGGGACCCCAAAGGGAACCTCTGAAAGCAGCTTTAGGGGAGCTCGTTCTCTCTGTGCAATTAAGGGGAGGAGGTGGGAAATGATGGTCTTTGACAAACTAAAAAAAAACCAAACCAGCTCAGGTGTGCAGAGCTGCCACCCATCCAGCACTGCCCTCTCCACCCCGGTCCCAAAGGCACCGGGATTCACCTGCATCCCCTCGCCTGGCCCTCGGTACGCAGCACCTCTGGCACAGCTGCCGGCGACCAGGAGGGCTCCAGGGGACAGCGTTTGGCAATGGGGACCAGCAGACAGCCACGGCAGAGTCACGGAAGCCCCATTTCTTTGGGAAACCAGCAAATAATGGCAGTTTACTGTTTGGTGGTTTGTTTTTTTTTTATCTCCCCACCATCCCTTCACACCCAGCAGCTCCGGGTGGGAAGGAACCAGCTCCTGCCGAAGGGCATGGCTGTCCCTGCCGGGTGGGGATGGGAACCGGCTGCTCTCCCACCTTCTCACCAGCTCCGGGCAGCAGGTCCTTGTTCATGGGGAGCGGGCACACATCGGGGCTGGTGATGAATGATGCAAAACTGATGCCTTGATGTACAGGAGACAACAGGGACCCATGAGGTCACCATTGCCGGCAGCAGTTTCGGACACCTGGCAGCTACCAAACCAAGATCCTTTGGCTGTATGCAGCAGAGTAAAATGGAACCCACCAAAATCTGTGTCTCCGTAAAACCTGCTTCAGGCCGTTCAGCGTTGGTGACCCTCGGAGACCAGGGTATGAAACCAAGTCCTTTTGGTGATGGGTGAGAGGAAGGACCCGCTGTGTCCCTCTCTGCTCGCAGCAGGTTTGTGTCTCTTGCATCTGCTCCGAGTTTCCCCTGCTGTGTTTAAGGACACCCACCAGGTAAGGCAAAAAGGCTCCCTGGACCCCACAGAAGGACGGTGCAGGGGGGCTGGGGCACCCAGCACCCCTTGCCAGGGCAGTGATCCCCTCATTGTAGCCTCTCCTCCCGCAAGACCTCTCGCTGGCACATGGTTTTGGTGAGATTTGAGGTTACAGTTGCTCCTGCACTGTATAAAACTGCAGGTTAAATCAAGAGCCAGGCAGCAGCAGGCAGCGCTGCCTGCGATGGTTCACCCAGGCCAGAGAATCCCTGTGCCCAGAGCCGGTGCTCATCTGCTGCTGGAGTGGACCGAGAGTTCCTGTGCTGGGGACACTGGGAAGCAATGTAAAATACCTGCTGGGGCCTGGGGGTTTCTCTTTCTCAGCTGGTGTCAGCTCAGGCGGTGTTTGCTTGTTTTATCCCTGAGATTTTTCAAATGTCTCTTACCACACAGGTAATATTTTCCTAGGAATGCCAAGCCCCCCTGGGGGAAGCTTTGATCACCCAGGACAGCATTTGCTCAAGACCCTGCTCTTTGCAGGGAACTAAAAGCATGGTGTGATGCAGCGGCTTTGCCCCTTCAGGAGGAGCGAAGGGTGCTGGAGCGAGGAGTATCCCGCGGGATCCAGACATCGGGCAACAGAGGAATCATTCCCCCCTGCATGGACCGAGCTGCAGTCTGGCCCAGGAGAATGCATCCTCTCCTGCCGGGGCTCTGAGGGCTGAGAACGGTGCAGCACGCCTGGGCTGTGATGCCACGTTCCACGCCAGAGCGTGCCGAGCGTCTCCAGGATTGGGTGAGTTTTGCTCGTTTCGGGGTTGACAACTGGAGAGCTGCCTGCTTGCCACCACAGACCTGGGGCTCCCTCAAGGTGGACACTGCACCTGCACAGCCTGTACGTGCCGCCGCTCGCTCCCCGCATCCTCTCCCCCACGTCCCTCCGCGGGCACCTGGAAGGTCCCACAAGGACCCAACTCCACAAGACCAGTGGCAGCAGGTCAGGTCCAAGATCAAGCTGGGCTCAGCCCTGGCCCAGGAGCAGCTCAGGCTTCACCTCGGAAGGGCCTAAGACCGCACCGAGGGTGCGGGACTGATGTTGAAGCCCCTCCACCACCCTGCAGCTCAGGGGCATCCCGAGCCAGACGTGGCATCTCTGTATTTAAGAGTTTCTACCTTTTTTTTCCTTTTGGGAATTTATCCGGCCGATTCTGAACTGGCGTAAAGTCCCTGCACGTGCAGCATCTTGCTGCACAGATGTCACCAGCATAACTAACCGCTGCTTAAAGAACCACCGCTTTCCCTTTGCTTTCAACCCAACTGCTTACTGGTTTCACTTGATGTCTCCCCAGCAACCTCTGTGAAACCATTTCCAGTTCTGCTTCCAAACTGGGGCAATGGGAAGTGCCTGGGGTATGCAAGGTGTGGGCACAGCCTGGATCCGCTTGGGATGGGATGGGATATGACAAAAAGGAGAAAAGGAGGAAAGGAAAGGAGGAAAGGAAAGGAGAAGACAAGAAAAATTATGCATCATAAACATGATAAGGCCAAACCCATGCAAAAGCAGATGGAGTTTTCTGGGAAAGGGCTTCTTTTTTTTGATTGCTTTTACTAAAAAGCCACATCAAGAAGGGAAGACAATCTCCCTTGCTTGTACAAGACCTCAGTTGCTGTAGTTTTGTGTTTATTTGCATCATGGCAGCACCGGCAGCTCACAAGGCACCAATCAAACATGCAAGACGAGACTCTTCATCTGAAGGATGAGAGAGACAAGTACAGAGAAACTTTAAAAAGAAATAATCTTTTATCAACATTAATCATGAAATGCCAGACCTCTCAATTTGCAAATTGCAGAGAACAGAATGGGAGAGGACACTTCAGATGGCAATCCATAAAGTCTAATTAAAAGAGAAAGGGCAGAAAAGCCTCACATGCCACATCCTGACCTTGTTTCTACCGCTTAGAGAACGTAGGGGCTCTTAAAACTAAAAATGCTTTATTCTCAGACATGTTTCTGTTACCGCTGCTCCTGACAAGGTGGTACATGGCAGGGCGAGTTTAACATTTGCAGATTAAACATGACCTAAAGCTTTTTAAAAAGAAATAAATAAATGTGTTGGAAATTCTCTTTAAAGAAAACCCATCTTGCTAAAGATCTGGCTTTTTTCCTCTGCACAAACCAAAGATTTTATGCAGTTGTTTGTATTTCCCAATGCGGGAACATTATTTCTCAAGGCAAGCACACGGATTCTCAGCTTAGGTATCTTACTAAATAACATTGTCCATGAAAAACTCTTACTCTCCCTGCACAAAAGAATTGAATTTCCTAGAGAGGAATTCAGAGAATCTCACAATTCCCATGCGTGTTCCTGGGAAAAGACTTGGGCAAGGAATGGCCAGTTGCTACAACCCTTCTACTTGTTACCCACCTCAACGTCCCAAGTACCCCAGCAGATACCAAGTGACAGTTACCCAATTTTTACCTCACTTTAGTCACGTTTCTCCTGTTCTCCCCTACCCTGAGCTTTGGACTGGAATAACTGTTTTATCTCGCCGTGATTTCTGATGCTTACCTTATGCTACTTTTTTTTTTTTTTTCCTTTTCTTTTTAAATTTAAGCAGCACATTCATCGTGCAGGTTATTTAGGTACGGTGACAAGGGGGACAATGCTGCATCAGAATACAAGATACCTGATGAGATGCCCTGCCCAGTAAAAGGGGACCCACAGGAAGGCATCATACCTCTCAGGTCTTCTTGAAAACGGGCTGCTTTGCTCTACAGTGAATTGCTCCTTGGATATAGAAGGAACAGAAATGCCCCCGGTAACCTCTGTGCATTAATGTTTCACGTCCCTTACCATCAGGCATAAATCTTTAATGTTTTACGTTTTAGTGTTATTTTTCCATGGAGACTGGAAACACAATGTTTAAATACAGCTTCAGAAATAACTATTTTTGAACTTTATAACAGTGTAACAGCAACATGTAGAAGGAACAATTACTCTCGTGCATAAACTATTTGTTTAATCATTCTGGGCTAAGCCGAGGCTCAATCAAGGCAAAATTCCTACCAGCATTAGTGGAACAGGAAGGAGGGTCTATATTAAAACCAAAACCAACAAAGCTTATCTTTTTTTTAAGCTGGATTAACATCTCCGCACTCTTTAAGCAGAGAACACCTCACCAAGCCGGTGCAGTGAGATGCTGTAAGAAGTTGCATTTCTTCCCGCATATGCTCCGAGTTTCAGGTGAGAGGGTCAGGATGTTGGGAGAAATCCACCTGCCACACCAGAGCCCTTCTGCTTACAGACAAAAGAAAACTGATGCAAAAGTTTTCACCAAATCATAGATACAGCATCTCTTCTCGGTTCTTCTGTCACTTATTTCTCAGGACACAAGTCATTTCAATAGGGTCTGACTCTGGATTTCCCCTGCACATCTGAACTTTTACTGTAAAAACAGGACCACTGAATATGCATTACAGCAATCACAACTCCTGTAGCTGTTCACCCTCACCATGCCCGCTGCTAACCTGAGGAGCTAGCCCTTCAATGCTTCTCACATGGGAGACACCTAGTTTTATTACTGAACCACTTCCAACATTTTTGCTTAATTTTGTTGTTTAAGCTTCACTCAGCATTTTCAGCAAGTGAAACGCTACACACTGTCGTCATTTTGGGTAGCTACACTGCCTGCGTGGCTTTCCATCTCTAAGTCCATTTAAACGCCTAAACAAGGTGATTATTTGTGTTTCAGTGCAAACAAAATCTCAGATTTAAGCAACCGCTGCTGCCTGGTCGGATGCTCCTTAGCTCTGTGCTTGCAAGTGGGGGAAGGAGGCAGAGCTTCCTACGCGAGGTCTTTCATCCAAGATTTACTTTCAGCAGCTCCTGAATGAACTACTGCAGACGTGTGACCACACGCCAGACTCAGCCCTGCTATTCAAGTGTTCTTCGACTGTTTCATAGAGGAAACTGCAGTTTTGGTAGGATGGTGTTTTACAGGATTTGCTCCACAAGGAATCACCTTGCTCCAAAGAATCCTCATTCAGGAGCACACAGCATACTTGTGACCACTAAGGCGTTAAGCTGCATGGGAGAAGAATAAAACAAAAGCTGTCCCCAGGGCAATTATGAGAAAGAAATAATGAGAAGCCAGGGATAAAAGAGTTTTCTGGACATTACTGCCATATTTGGGACAGGCAGGGATCCCTTGGGGCCAAGTGTATTCCCCCAATCCCTTTCAGAATTTATCAAACTCCACCATGGCACCAGCTTTTTCTTGCTCTACTTCTCCTCCCAGGAAGCTGAGGACATTGACTTCACTCACGGGCTCACTGAAAAGGAGGTGCTTGAACGGGAGGCAACACAATTTTTTTAATCTTTGCACTCAACTGGAATAAGCAAAAACGCTGAGTATCACCAGCCTGTGGAGAGAAGATGCGTGATCTATAAATGCTGTCTATGCAGGACTCCCCTCCTGTCTGCTGATCTTGTCCCTGCAGCTGAAGCCACTGCTTTCTTTTTAGCTTATAATGTTACCTATACCTTGCACGTATGTTAAGAATACACCCAAGCTCTTTTTCAGAGTCTCAGAAATTAAACCTCCAGTAAGTAGATGTTTGAGGCAACTGATTCTGGTCATTATTTCTATGTGACAGCACTTTCACTGCCACCACTGCTGTCCTATGACTGTAACTGCTGAACTAACTTTTTTTTGTTGCTATTTTTACATCAAACCCAACCATTTACCTTAACCTACGCTCTTAGAAGCTCCATTTCCTGCTTATAGCTCTGTGGACAATCCTGTTCTGATCATTACATTTCCTCAGTTTTCTCATACCTGAAGAACTTCCAGCATTTTTCTGCATTAATGCAGACATTCTCTAGCATGTGCTGTCCGGTGTGCCAGAAGAGTTTTTTAATAATGCTTTTCGTACAGTCAGCACTGCTCTATAAAACTCCTCCTCCCAGATATGAATCATCTAGCCTCTAATTAAACTCAGGTCCTAATCAATGACTGTTAGGCTGGCACCAACCAGATGCCTTTCATGCCTGAATTTGATTCAGTTTAGTAAAACTGTCTTATCCTAAAGCTTCTCCTATAATCAATATATGACTGTAAGCCATCATCTCCGGATGGACAGGGATTTTTTGATAACTGAATGGAAAAATCTATCCCAGGAATGCTTTTGGCACACCGATTACATGTATATGTTATGAGTTCGCAAGTGATTAGTGAGTCTTGGTTTCTCCATAAAACTTTTTTCACATTCTGTACACTTGTAAGGCCTCTCCCCTGTGTGAGTTCTCTGGTGGCGAATCAAGTCCGCATGGCGACCAAAGTTTCTACCGCAGTCTGTGCAGATGTATGATGATACCTGATTCTTTTTAGTGTGAATTTGCTTATGTTTTAGAAGTCCAATTTTCAATTTAAAAGTCTTCTGACACTCTGTACACAGATACAGCCTTTCTCCTGTATGGGTTTGCTGATAAAAAAAAATCTCTTTGAATTCGTTAGGTTCTCCCTCCTCAAAAGAGCTTTTACCTCTTCTGTTTCCTGTTGGATTTGCCTGATGTGTTGCTGAATTCTGATGACTCTCAGATGTTACCCCCTTGTCCGAAATTTGGCAAGTCAGGTCTCGGGATCCTCCTGAGAATGATCCATGCAGTTCTGTATTTTCTGTACTCTTTGTGTGACTCTGCAACTCGGATCTGATCACAGTACCACCACAGCCTGGAACAGAAAGATTCCAAACATTCCCATTACTGACGTGGTACAACATAAACCTCCAAAGAAAAACAATTCCTGATTCACCATGGTTACATCCGTACAAAGAAAAGGTTTTGGGTAAAAAAGCAGGGGTGCACTAGAATACCCCCTCCCTCTAATCCTACAAGCCCATGCAGTTTCAATGTGTTGCCAGTTTAATTTCTGATGAGTCTCAGGCCACCACACACCTGCGCCAAGACTTGCAGGAATCGCTTTTTCCTCAAAATCCTGCTGATCCTTGACATGCAGCACTTCTTTTGGCTGGATATTGCTTTTGGGAACAGCACAGTCTGCACAAGGAACTGAACATGGAAATGATGGTTATTATTTTCCTCAGATTTTTTTCCCATTATTACAAAGATATTTCCTAACCTACTTAGGCAGACAAAGGATATGTTGCAGAAAGACCAGTCCTGAAGATAGCTTTTTGTCAGCCTGTTCACTTTAAGTCTCTGAGCCTTGTAGTTCACTTATGCCCTTGTTTTGTAAGATGACTCATTTTTGTTAATTTACATGAAGAATACTGCCTTTTGCTTTCTCAAAGAACAACATTTTTCTAGTTGTTCCTAGAACTATAAGAAAAGACTTTGTGATGCTGTTTTCTAGCAAATACCTGCATAACCCACTGTCTAAAAGCACGTCTCTTTTACTCCGGGGAAAGGTCTGATGAGGAGGTGACAGCAAATGCAGCTGCTCTGGCATCTAGAGACGGTGGCTGCAAAGCAGGCAAGCAATATTTGTCTTCCAATTTTTTTAAATATTCCAGAAATTATATCCAAAAGGTTGAAAAGTTAAATGTTCAAAAGTGGAAGGTCTCGAATTGATTGCAGCCTAATTCAGCCGTCTGATGCTGTATGTTATGATTCAGTCCTGACTGGCTTTCTGATACATGAACTTATTTTCCCCCAGCTAATCCCTCCTCATGCAATGCACAGCACATACTTTTTTAACAGATCAGAGCTGTACAAAAAATAGAGGCAGCTGTCTGCAGACTCTAGCTTTTCTACTGTAAAAAAAATAGAAGACATGTAAAGAATAAAAAAAAAGTGGAATTACATTGCCTCATTATTTCTTTTAATTTCAAATTTGAAAGTGATCAGTAGCAACAGAATGAGGTTAGGCTAAATCAGCGTTTCTTAAACAGAACTGCAGAGTGTCAGAAAGCACAAACTAGAGTATGTGACAACTGAGGCTCCTGGGGTTCACAGCGCTTCTGTTCCTCCAGTCCAGAGGACAAGTAAAGGCACTTTTAGCCCCTAATTGCCATAGGTTCTTCTTCTATTAATCCAAGGAATCACCTGAAAGCCAAGGAGCCAGTGGAAGCTCTTACCTTCACATTAAAAAAACCCCACAAACCAACAAAAAAAACTTCAAACAAATGTGTAGTTGGGCACTTAAAACCAACCAGCAAGACTTAATTTTCCAGTGCATCATTTCTGTTATTTAACATTTCTGCATCAAAATAGTTCAACACTCTTTACTGAATCACAAAAACAACACACACATCAGGATTTGGGGATAATGAAAATACTCACAACTAGAATCCTAGAACAGTTTGGGCTGGAAGGGACCTTAAGGATCACCTAGTTCCAACGCCCCTGCCATGGGCAGAGACACCTTCCACTAGACCAGGTTGCTCAAAGCCCCATCCAACCTGGCCTTGAACACCTCCAACGATGGGGCATTCACAACTTCTCTGGGCAACCTGCTCCAGTATCAAACTTAACTATAATTAAGAAGTCCACAGGATTCACGATACCATACATCACTGCAGCTCCTTAGCCTGTGCATCTAAACCTTTTGCACCCTCCTTTGTTCTTGTTTTAGTTAGCACATGCATTACTGGGGCACCGTCAGAGATCCTAAACCCCCCTGTCAGGCAGAGCCTTTCACTCTCCATTATTCTACCCGTATCATGCAGACAAGGTATCACCTACACGCACAGCTTGAATATCTGACATCAACAGAGCGCAGGGAGGCAGCAGCGTTGAAGCTTTAGAGAAGTGACTGTCCTTCAGTCTTTAAAGGAAAGATTGTGGAGCTTATCGTCTCTCACAAAGATTCAGACGTATCTAAAGATTAATCCACTAGAAATCAAGGGATTTGGGGTGTGACTGTTATAGAAGTGCCAGGCCAGAAACAGCACAGATCTGTTAGCCTTCAGTGAGAAAGGGAAAACTAACCTTTACCCAATGTGGTTAAAGATTCATAATTCTCCTTTATCACTTTCTTGTAAAGTTCTTTCTGCCAGTCTTCCAAGTCCTTCCCCTCCCGCGCTGCAGCATTATCAAATGTCCCAGGGACCTAAAACAAAGTGTTCAATAGTCAGCACCACTGGAGAGTCGTACATCCTCGAAAGTCCTCTTTTTCAAACAGTGTTAAACAAGCAGTCACCGGCCAACTGTTTCTAGCAATGTCCATGTTACATACAACCAGCGTACTAAGGACTTTGTATATAAATCTTCTACTGTATGTAGCTCAGAATGAGTAAAATTACTTAAAAATTATGTGACTCAACTGAAACAATGACTTTTTAGAACAACTGAGTCAAAAATCAGAGCGGTAAAAGAAATCTGTGGTCACCATCGATACCCAGCCCCATCAAGGAATTTGGCTCTTCCTTTCACTGAAAACCAGAAAATACTCTGGAGTGCACTTTAAATAAGCCCTGAGGCAGTGCCACAGTCTGTCAGATCTGGCTGTGAGAGTTCTTCCCTAATAATAAAAGTTAACACAAACAAAAAGTCAAGCCCTACAAATACTGAGAGATGAATGCTGCATTTTTTGCAATGTATATGTCCATACTTTGTATCTGTACTTTATATCTACAGAGTACCATGTTTGTACGTGCTTGCCTTTGAATATGTTTTAATTTGCCTTGCAATCTAATGCACATCTCACTGGTTCAGACATTTTGCAGCTTGCATCATGTATAAAATCAATTGTACAAATCTGCTGCCAAGAGAAATAATTAAGTTTCATTAATTTGTCACTAGATGGGATCACAATCCAAATTAATACACAGGGGGGAACGCTGAGCAGAAGTTAAGCCTTTGTCTCAGCCCCAAACACCCACGCCATGGGCACTGTGCCACCAACAAATCATCTCAGTGACTCTGAAGGAAATTTTTCCAAGCATGAGGACTGTCATGTACAAATACAGGTCTGCAGGGAGTGAATCCATTTTACAGCATGAAGGGGGACTGCATTTCCAACAAACAGATTTTCTCCCTAACATTTAGGCACAAAATTGGAATTCAAGCACAAAGAGCACCAAAATGCCTTTATTTCCCCAGTCACCAACCTCCCAATGCCACCTCCACACTCTGCAATGTCAGAGAGAAAAACGAAACCCGCTGTGTCACTGGCAACATTTTACTGCCATGTAGTATGTTTCACCTACTGCTGCTTCCTTGAAGTGCTTTACATGCAAATGTTCCTTTAATTTAAGGGAAGTAAATACAATAGTAAACATCTTAATTACCCTCGAGTGCTCAGGGTTCCGGATTCGTTTTCGAGTTTTATTATTTATGCCGCCACAGAAACTTCGGGGTGTGCCAACGAGCCAGTTTCCATCTTCCCCCAAAATGAATTTTTTGGGAACAGCTTCTTTCAGCAGACGTCTGTTTTTTCTAATTTTTAAGGGGTCAATTTCAAAAGAACTGTCCTCAAAATGCTTCGAACACAGTCGCTGATGCTTGGACGGTGTTCCCATGTCCCGGCCCATGTTCTGGATCCACTGCTTCAAGAGAGGTTTATTTTGTAAAGGAAAGCCATAGAAAGTAACGGTACTGTTCTTGTACACCCCGCTGGTGGCATTTTGGCAGTTCAGTGCCGAGCAATAAACCATCGTAAAATGGGAAGCAGGAACAAATCAAGAAAAAATGTGCCAGGAGGAGGGTTTAAAGAGTTTCTAATCAACTTTAGTATTAAACGGGCCTAAACGTCTCAAGACAAAACATGTTTTTGAAAGACAGAGAGAGCTGAGGTCACGAAGAAGTGAAACACGGTGCTGAACTTCACTGCCAGAGACACAGAGCTCACCACAGCTGAAGTCTGCAGCACACGGAGTGGAGGAGCCAGGTGCCCCTTTCACAGCACGCGACTTCCCCGCTTCAAAGCGACAGCATACAATCTGGAAGGCAAAAATCTTTAAAATCAGCTTAATGGGCCATTACTATGCAAACTTACGTTTAAAGTAATTTCCGCTATATACACATATATATGCACTTCCTTAATTTGCGTATCTGTGAGGAATCCTCCCACGCTCCACAACAAAGCTTATTATACAGTTATTCAGAAGGCAGCAACAAAAGAGTGATAGCCAAATGACTTCCAGAAAATGAAGACTTGGGTTTATACGTGGGGTTTGAACAAGGACTCCCCCATCGTATTGGCCATGTGCTGGAGGAGGTGAGTCTCAGGGATGCCAGTTGGAGAGGAGATCCGTGGAGAGGCACATTGAAAAGAGGAGAAAACCACAAAGAGGCACTGCTAGAAAGGGATGGTGATAGCAATCGTCAGGGCACGCACCCGCAAAAAGAACCCAGGAAGAGAAAGGGCTCTGGAGAGCACACGGGGAAGGTTTCTGGAAACAACCATGACCCAGACCTAACGCTTGCAACCGCTCTCACCATCACACTGTGCTTTTGGGAATGTTTATGGTTCACGACCCATTCTGGTATCGAACGCAGGAGGAAATAGGGCACCTCTGCCCCAGGGCACTCTGCCAACGTGGAGACCTGCTGTGGACCCCACTCACTCCCCACTCCCACCCACCAGTGTCCGGCGGGGCAGGAGGAGGTCCTTACTTCCCCCAGGGCCGACCCCCGAGCTCTGTTAAGCTGACACTGGAGGAAAACCGGGCACCCCTCCCTTCACCCGAGAGCAGCGGCAGCCCTGCTGCCATCCCCTCCGCATCCCCCCAGTCCCTGCGCCTCACCCCCGCAGCCCTCAGCCGCGGGACCGCGGGGCGAGGCAGGACCCGGCCCCACGTCCCGTACGACGGGCCCCGGTGACCTGCACAGCCCGTTCCAGCGCCCGGGGAACCGCAGCGGGACACAGGCCTCTCCGGCGGCCCGGGGGACACCCCTGTCTCCCCGGGAGGCCCCGAGCCCCGCGGGACGGTCAGACCCACACCCCCCCCGCCCCCGGGGCCGCTCACCCACCACGCCGAGCCGCCATCTTCCTCCGTACTGCCCCACGCCCCGCCCCTTCGCCCGGGCAACAGCCAATCGGGCGGGGCACCGGCCGCCACGCGCCGCCAGCCCTGGGCGGGGCGGGCCGGACGATGTCCCCTCGCTATTGGGCGGCCGCCGCTTGGCCCCCGCCCTCCCGTTGGCGCGCGCGGCCCGGCGGCAGCCAGTCACCACGGGCACGTGCGGCGCGGCGGCCTCCACCAGGAGGGTTGGGCAGACGCGTTCATCCCCATTGGCCAGCAACAGGAAGCAACAAGACGCTGATTGGAAGAGGCGAGCGCCACCTCACGGAAGGGAGGCGGCAGGCATTAGGAGAGCCCGCGCCTTCTCGTCGTCATAGCAACGGCGGAGCCGCGGCGGCCGCAGCGGCGCCCGGCCCGAAGCGG